ATTATATTTTACTTTTTTAAAATTTCATTTTATTTCCTTTTATTTTTTTTTAACACACAAATAATAAATCACTGTGGTGTTGGGATTTAAGAGGAGTTACTTCCCTGCTGGAAATGAGTTTTCAGCCTGGTGCAGCTCTAAAATCCAGGATTTCCAGTGTCTCCTGGAAAAAAGCAAGTGCCCCATCCCTGGATGAGGCATCCTTGGAGCATCTTCTCCTTCCTTTCTGCAACTCCATCCATCCCTTCCCGTTCTCATCTCCGGGTTTGGAGCTGCCACCACATTCCAGAGCTGATATTTGGGTACATTCCTGAATTTACACCATTTTTAACAAGTGAAAAGTGTTTTTCCTGGTATTAGAAGCTGCAGTTTTTTTGGAAGGAAAGTGTCAGGAACTGAGTAAGCGTCAGGAGCTGGAATTCCACCTGGAATTCCACCTTCACCTGCTGCTCAAAGAACCCCGACCTGGGCACGTAGGTGGTTATGGCGCTCAAATTATCCTCCCCAAAAAACCCCATCCTGGGATTGAACTGAGCCCAAAGCCCTGAGCCTGCAGAAATACCCTCCCTGGGATGGGTGGGAGGAGTCCCATTGTCCCAGTGGCAGGAAAACCTTCCCGGGGTCAAGGCTCCCACTCGCCCAGGGCAGGTCAAGTGGCCTTGGAAGATCCGCGTGACTCCGTTTTGGAGAGGGGGTGAAGAGGAGCAGAGGTGCTGACTGAGCTGAAAGGCAACTCCCAGCCAAGATTTGGGTCTTGTGTTTCCCTTTTGGGATGTGTGAATGGCTGAAATTTTCCTGGATTTATTAGGAATCCCAGAAAATAAACCCTGGGATGAGCTCAGTTGGTCGGAGCAGAGTGCTGATAACACCAGGGTTGGGGGTTCAATCTTTGTGTGGGATATTCACTTAAGAGTGGGACTCTGTGGGTCCCTTCCAATTCCAAATATTCTGAGATTGTGCAATGGTTGAGGGACTTCTGGAAGCCATGGAATAATTTTGGGAAGGTACCTTTAAAGGTCACCTGGTGCAACACCCCATAATAAGCAGGGACATCTTTAACTAGATCAGATCCCTGTGTGGGCCATTCCCTTAAGAACTGGGCTCTCTGATCCTTGTGGGTCCCTTCCAACTCAGAATGTTC